CTGTTATCATAATCATTAAATTACTGCACAGAAATTTAATGATTATGATAACAGTTTAAATGATTCTTGGGTGAGGTCAGAAGTGATGGGTTGTTTCAAACCATAACATTTTGCAGGGTTTTTTTTGTTTTTTGATTAAGTATTTATTATTAACTTAGCCTAAGTTAATCTACTTGTAACTTTTTATAAATGTACTATAAAAATAATGTGGTGTAATTATTTTCTTAAACCTTTAGGTTAACAAACTTTCAAAAACTGGAGGTAAAACCATTAAGACAAATACAAAAAAATGTGATGCAAAGGTTTGTTAAAAGTAGTTTTAAATAAAAAATCTTTCGAGTCCTTTTTTATAGTTTGTTTTAAACTTGTGTTAAAAATATGTGTAGCACATATTTTTAAAAGTTTGACGAATTCTAATCAGACATAAAATTAATCTTTTAAATAAAATTAAATTTTTTTTTTATGTCTGATTATAATTTTTCTTGTAACTGTTTTCTCTTACTTTTGTATTTCCTTGAGCTAAAGAACAACCTTAAAGTACAAAGGTTGATTTGTAACGCATACTAAACCTTTTTTTTTACTCTATATATATACATACATATATATGTATGTATATATACATACATATACTTATATGAATATATATTATATATATATATATATATATATATATATATATATATATATATATATATATATATATATATATACATATATATATATATATATATATATATATATATATATATATATATATATATATATATATATATATATATATATATATATATATATATATATATATATATATATATATATATATATATATATATATATATATATATATATATATATATATATATATATATATATATAAAGTTGTACTTGATAAAAATAAATAAATAAAGTTGAACATTTTGAATAATTATTGATTATTATGATAAATTATATAAAGTATAAATATTTTGCAAAAACACTTTTATTTGCAATAACTGCTTCATTGCATTGTGGCATGCTTGCAATTTATTTTTTATAGTTTCTGTCAACTCTGGGTTATTATTGCTAGATCTTGATAATCTCTGCCGTAAGATCTTGCTTATTAGTAGGATTTTTTTTTCCAATCTCTTGCTTTACTATTTCCCAAATGTTTTCTATGGGGTTAAGATCATGCGAGTTGTCTGGCTATAACAATACATCAACTAAGCCATAAAAGTTAATATTGTTTGTCATGTTGCACCATCTTGCATAAATATAAGATTTTTGACATTATTTTTAATATTTTTAAATTTTTTTGTCAATTTTGACTTTTTTGGCTGGACATCAACCCCTCTTCTTTTAGCCTTCTACAATTGGTCCGGTCTGACACAACAATTACAGCTTCATGGATAAGCTTAGTGGCTTTTTTTCTGTTTTCCAGGCAGATATTTCTGATTATACTGTCCGCTCTTGGTGTTTTCTTGCGTTTAGAAGGTTTTGTCCTTGGACCAAACTCTTCCCCTGTATCAATTCTTTTTCTTACTTGCATTACGGTTTGTAATGCAAGTAAGAAAAAACAAAAATCAACTTTGAATTTACGTTGTTTCAACGTAGCTCTAACGTCTTATCAACTACGTATCAATCGAATATATCACCTATTCAAAGTTGAAATATGGTTGATATGTAGTCGATAAGACGTTAGATCAACGTTAAAACGACGTAATCATCGACGTTGTTTCAACGTCGTAGTTTTCGACGTCGGATTTTCTTCCAATTCAACCAAATTTCAACGTTGTTTCAACCTGGCATATGGTCGGTTTACGACGTTATTTCAACGTTATTTCAACGTCATTGTGCCTGCTGGGATACAAGATGATGATATAAAAGGTCCTAACAGTTTCATTGAAGATTTTAAAAATGTCAATAATTTGAGTTTTTTAAATTATTAAGTTTATAAAGGCACTCTAATTGGTAAATTATGGATATAAACATAACTAAAGAATTAGAAAATTGGGACAGCGTTACAAAAAGATTAATTTCTCTAACTATTAATAAATTAAAAAATAAAGATAAATTATTTATAGTATCTAACTATGATATTTAAAGTCTATCAAGATAATAATGTAAACTTTGTAATAATTTTAGAATTTTTGGCTGAATTTGATCAAGTTATGGAAAAACAATTAATGAGAGCAAAATAAACCAGATTTAGTGCACTCTTCAGCAAAAGACATTCAGAATAAAATTATTGACTTGATTGGCAAATCCATTAAAATCAAATTTTGCGTAAATGTTTAAAGGTCCGTGTATTTTTAGTAAGAAATGATGTACAGGTTTTTATTCTTAAAAAAAAACAGCCGTGCGGTTTATATTCCTTGCTGCAGTCGCACATTAAATCTAGAAGTTATTGATTCTGGGAGATGTTCACCTGAAATTGCTATACTTTTAAATACTATTAATCAAGTTTACAATTTCTTTTCAGCTTCAACAAAAAGATGGTTAATTTTTCATTCTTTGTGTCAAAAGTGTCCATCTTTAACTGATAAACCGTTAAGTGAAACAAGATGGGAAAGCCACATCAAAGGTTTAAAAACGTTTTAGTTTAAAATGCCAAATACTTATAAAGCACTGCAAGATGCGACCAAGACTGCTAATAAAACATTTGCAAAAATCACAGCAGAGTCTATTTGCTTTAAAAAGAACAAGCTTTGATTTTTTGTGTTCAATCGTAACTTGGCATAAAGTTTTGTTTGAAATCAATTTAACTTGTAAACAACTTTAATCAGCTTCAACAAATATTTCAGAGGCTTTTAAAGCAATGGAAAGAACGATCTTTTTTTTTTAAAGCAATGGAAAGAACAATTACTTTAAAAGCAGTGGAAAGAACGATTACTTTTTGAAAAAAATTTCAACAGAAAAATTTGACTCTGTTGTGTGTATTGCACAAGAACGAGATTCCTTATTAAAAATAGAAAAAAGTTTTATTACAGAGTCTGCTTCAAAAATAAATAAAAAAAGTTACTTTGATGAACCTGAACAAATTCATGAAAAGCAATTATGTCCAAAAAAAAAGTATAAACAAGATGTTTTTAATAAAATATTTGAATGTGCTACTATTGCAATAAAAGATTTAAATGCATCTAATGCTAGAATCGCACCTTTTAGCTTTTTGTTACGGGGACATTAGCATTACCATTAATTTTTTAATTGCATTTTTTAATTATTGACAGTTTATGGTAATAAATTCCTATAGTAATAAACAAAAGAAATCATTCTTGATATATATTTACTCGTATAGTTTAACACTCCTAAATAGTGAATCCAAATCCAATTTTCGGAATTTCGGAATTCCGAAATTCCGTCATATTTTGAATTTTTAAAAATCCGGAATTCAAAAACGTAAATTCTGGATTTTTCGAATTTAGAATTCCGATTATTTAATTTTTATTTTATTTTTGAAGTTATTTAGAACTGTTTTTATAAAAATTTCAAAAAAAAATTTTGTTTTGTTTTTATATTATGTATTTCTTCCGTTCTAAAAATTTTAATTTTTATTACTAAAAACGTTTTTCAACAACAAAGTCGTCATCCTCAGTAGTATAATATAACAGTGTTTAATAATAAAAATTATAATTTTTAAAACGGAATAAATACATAATATAAAAACAAAACAAAAGTTTTTTTTTGAAATTTTTAGAATTTCGAATTTAGAAGAACTTTTACTATAGATGGCAGCATTGTGTACTTTCATTGTTATAAATTCAAAAAATTTAAATTTTAGTAGGCTTAGGCTACTGCAAATGCATTAAACTTTTTTTTAAATGAAATAATAACATTAAGAAATTAAATTGTATGCAGAGCAGACAAAGTAAGTCATTATATTAATTTTAAGTTTCAAAAATTTTTAACAAAAATTCGATCAAGGCTCAACGACTAAACATTGGATACTTTGTGCTTTTTAAGAAGCTTTTTCAAAAATCAAAATGAAAATTGAACTTCCATTTTGCAATTTTATTTATGTAGTTCAAAAAAATTTTAATATGAAATATTTCCTTATTTTGTAATTTATTTTAATTTTATTGTTTTGAACTAAATACATTTATGTTAAAAAATAATGTACTTTCTTTTCTTTATATTTTTTAAATTTTTCTATAATAATTCCGGAATTAAACCGGAATTCCGGATTTCATCTCCTGTAATTCCGAAAATCCGGAATTCAGTTTTTTACAATAAAATGGATTCACTACTCCTAAATCCAGTTTTTCAGTAAGGTTCTATTGTAAAATAATTATAAATGACCAATCTTAATATGATGGGTCATTTCTAACTATAACAAGAACTTTAGTGGCAACAGCATCTTACACCAAAAATAATGTTATATATTATATCTTTTCAAATTGTTATAAATTGTATAAATATCCGACGTCGTGATTGGACTAATTGGGATACACTATGTCATCGATATGGAATATGACGCCCATGTCATGACATTATATACAATCTTACACTATAATTTATTTAAAGAGTAAATTTAAAGAGTAAAGCTCAACAAAACCTTCCTTGAATTAGATGAGTAGCTTATGGGAGGAGTATTCCCACTGCAAGCACGGCCAATAAGTAGACATACCAAAGAACAATAATTTTTATTTCAACGAAGAGAGTTGTTAATTAAAAGTTTAAATCTTATTATATATTAAATTAAGTTCAAAATATTGTTAAAATTTTTCATAAAAAAAATTTTTTTAATATTGTTTCATAATTCAGCGTTTTTTGAAACAAGAAAATAGAATTATATTTTAAGCAAAAATATTTTTGAAACAAGAAAAAAAATCTTGTTTTACGAATATAAATTCTTGATACCAGAAAAAAAAAATTTAAGAAAAAAAATTCTTTAAACAAGAACAAAATTCTTTGTTTAAGCAAAATTTTAAGAAGGATTTTTTTATTTTTACACTGATAATAAGTTTAGAAAAATAGGTGTACAAAACAGAGTTGATATCTCAGTGTAACGGCTCTCTGAGCCCCTGCATATCAGTATTGCTAATATTAACAGGCTGTTTGTGGCTATTTTTAACAAAAAACTTACAAATGTAACCAGCACTAGGAAATGAAAATGTTGTCTCTGACGTAGTAAGCAAACCTATATTTACAAAAAAACTATTATATAATTCTCGTCTTATTGCATGTTTTAACTATATTTAAAAATATATAAACAATTACCCGTCTTCTCATTTTGATTAGGAGATAACTCCTAAAATAATAGTAATATTGTTTCAAAAAGTAAGTATTCAAAATAATAATTTTAAACGAAAAAAAAGTTTTTATGTTGCAAATCTGCTACCAAGTTTTTTTTATAAATTCTAGTTTTATAGTAAAATTGGATAATAAAGTAATACAAATATTCAGAGGCGGATACAGCATTATGAACGGAGTGAGTCTTAAATGAGATAAGTTGGGGAGAGTAATCGCCTCCATGAAGGAAGAACCTTTCATATTTTACTGCTAATTCTATTGATTTTAACATATACTTTCGGTGAAGGTTAATTCATTCTAAAACTGAACTACTGTCACTGTCTACTGTTTTTAATATACTGGTTAGTTAAGTAACCTTGTTTGGAGTCAAATAATGTAAAAAAATGTTTTATGTTTTTTAAATGTTAACAAACAAATTACATCAGATGAATATTAAACGGTTCAAGCACTGTCCCTAAGTACTACTACTAAATAATCATATTTTTAAAATTTTGTCTTGATCTGATAATACTATTAAAAGATAATTTCAAAAATAATAATTATCAGTTATAAAAATAACAGTCAATAATGCTATTACATAGCATTATCGACTGTATTGCATAGTATCAAACTATCCATAATGCTATTGATACATTTCATTTGTATTGTACCTATGTGTGTTAGTGAGATGTAGTGATGATGTATTGATAAAAATACTCATTTTGGGAAGTCGTTAAACACATCCGGCTACTGTCTTGTAGAAGGCCTTCTACGCAAATGCTTAATAGATAAACAGATTTCATCTGTTAAACAGCTTTTCACCCCTTCTTCATCTATTAGGCTGACATTGATGTATCTAAAATACATTGTTCTCAGTTTAGGATGTTGAATGTAGGATCTTCTTGACTAAATGCATGGGTTTTGCTTGTGTTTTTGTTTGTACAACTAGGCAATTCATTCTATAATTTCCTAATGTTCTGAGGCCGGCTGGTAGTCAGGTTTTCCGAACTCTGTGGTAACTCTCAGAGATTTCGTCAACAGCTGTAAAGGATCAGAGTAATAACAGTGTCATGCTGCGCATAGATGATATCCCTGCTTGTACTTTTTGTGTGCATTGTTGAGGCCACATTTAGAGCCCTTTGTTACGGCCTAGTGTTTAATAATAGTAATGAAGCAATTGCTTGGACTATTAAACAGTATACTCAGAATTATCTGTGCTAATAATCAAGTCCTTTAACAAACCTAAAAAGGCTTAAGTATCAAAAACTCAAAAACAAAAAAAACCATCGTCACCACCAAGTTCTCTATATTTATCATTCACTAATATTCGTGGTCTTTGAAGTAACTTTTCTTCTGTTATGTCTCATCTTGTGTCCTTAAGGTTGAAGGTTGTCTTCCTTAAATTCGCACAGACTCCAATAGTCACATGCTTGGCCTAGGCATTTACATTCATAAAAATTCACCCATTTGTTGGCAAACTAGGTTTGAATCCGCAGACTATTCTTTATGTGCTTTATATTCTTTATTAGAACCACTCTACTCTATCAGCTTTCTTTTTATTTTATATCAGTACTCATCATCTTAAAACTACACTCTTTTTGATGTCATTTAGATCAAATTTACTCATCCCTTTATATTTAACTTTGGCTCTAGTAACAGTGACTCTGCAAGTATTAAAGTCCATAACTTTGGTTTTCTCCATCTCTTATACAAATAGTCAACTTTTCTACTCGTTTTCCCGACAATTCAAACCATTTACCTCTGCTCGACTTATGTCTTGTTTCTGATTCTAGTCAGTGTTCAGTTTTTCCACATTCACCCTAAGGATCTTTCTATCTTGGTTTGTTCTCTCTAAAACTAATAACTCATTCTACTTTATTATCAGAGTCCCTTATTATTGTACATCTCACAATTACCTTGAAGCTGACTGGGACTCTTTCTGTAATTTTCTTCGTGGTAGCCCTTGGGTTGAAATCTTTCGTCTTCCTGCTGACAAATGTACTTCTTAGATAACTTGTTCCATTCAGGCTCACATGGAACCTTTTTTTCTCTATCGACGGTTCCGAATCAAGCCTCACTCTTCTCAATTATTTTCTTCTTATTGTGCTACTGCAATTTCTAATCGTAATAATTACTTTCATATCTATCAACAAAACAATTTTCCACAAACAGACGTTTGTTTATGGAAATATATAAATATATATATACAAATATATAAATATATATATATATATATATATATATATATATATATATATATATTTATATATATATACATATATTTATATAAATTTGTATATATATATATATATATATATATATATATATATATATATATATATATAATAATGCATATATAAATAATATATATACAATATGTATGTGCTTATAGGGTCAATGTCTAATTTGTGTTAAAAGTTATTTTTTGCTTTAAACTTGTTCTTTAAAACTTTACAAGTTTTTAAGATATAAGCATTTCTTTTTTTGCCGTCACTATTGCATGCACTATATTTGTAAATCTAATATTTTAATATTTTTAATGCTTTCTGTTACAAATACGTTATTCCCCTAAATAATATTTAAAGCACTTAAAGATTCCTACCGTTAGTTTAAACAAAAAACAGCGGTAAAATCGGAGATGTTGCTTTTTACAACTTTTCCAGAGACTTAAAAGCTGTCATGTGTGCAACTGATAGATGGAGTTTTATTCCTCAAAATACTAAAGTACCAAGTACATCCATTTCTTTTAACTAAAAATATGAATTTCATTAAGCCTATGTTCTGTGAAGGCTGGAAATAAAGCAGCACGATGGTTAAGGGGTGTGAACCGATGCTAATAACAAATAAAATAATAATAAATAACACGATAAAGTCAACATTTATCGTGTTATTTATTATTATTTTATTTGTTATTAGCATATTTCGATATACTCCAATCAAATAGTCCAATTCTAATCTCCCCTCAATTTGTTCAGCCAGTAAATTTAGACCAAAGTAAAGGACTTTTTTACTAGGCAAAAATTCTTATTGGACGATTCCCCTTATTTTTTACATTATTGCGCTGGCCCTGGCTGAATGTTAAATGACTGAACTACCATTTAGCAAAACACCACAATGGGGTGGAGGAGGATGGGAGGGGGCTTGAGCTGTAGGGGTTATAAATTTCCAAAAAGTTGTGCAACAGATTTTCAATACGTTTTGAAAATTTTTTTTTTTTTCTTTGTGGTAGAGGCCTAAATAACATTTTGCGCATTATCACAAAGCATGCACTTATCACAAAGCATCGCGGAGAAACGCGATGATTTATTAGGGAGGTCACGTCATCTTTCTAATCAATTTAGAAAAACATTTTTAGAGGTGGGTTTTGAACCCTGGATAGCTGGAGTCTAAGACAAGTGCGCTACCCATTGCGCTACACGGCAGTGGGTCTCCGAGGTGTAAAGACAGAACTCTAACCACTACATTACTCAAAACTCTTACCCAGTACGACAGATAAACAACATTGTTCGTAACTTTGTCACATGGATGAGGTATACTATTTAAACGGATAAAAAAAACGTAGTTGGAAAATCTTTCAACCATGGCTCAAACAGTAAATAAGATCTTATATTCAGTTTAAAGTCTACTTAATGAAATGCACCACCATTTTTTGAAGATACTATGCAAATTTAAGTTTTTTCATTAATATTAAACTGCAAACGGCGAGTCATAATTAGTCTTTGCTTTATCATAATTCTCTTATATCTTAGAAATATTAGTAATATCTTTATAAAATTACAAAAATATATAAGATTGACTTTGCTTAAATTATCAACATCATGTAGCCTCTAGTAAGAATCGTTAAGTTAACTATACTTGATAATATGTTTTTTCCAAAGTACTATCAATAACTATTGTAATTTCCCTTCCTCCTGCTCGATGAAAGGTTTAGAAATTTTTGTTATAATATTTGCTTATGCATGTTTCATGTGTATTTATACATGTGCATATATATATGTAAGTTTGTGTATGTATATGTATAATTGCAGATGTGTGTATGTATATATATATATATATATATATATATATATATATATATATATATATATATATATATATATATATATATATATATATATATATATATATATATATATATATATATCATTAGCATTTTAATATTAGGAAGTTCATTTTGTCATAATTTGTAATATAATTTTTAGTCGGTTTGTAACAAGTTTATTTGTCCATTTATTTTTTCTCTGTATTGTCTTCAGTTTTTAAATTTAATTACAAGAGTTTTAATTGTTAATTAAACCTTTTGAAAATTTAGTAAGACTACGAAACATGTCAAGAATAAAAAATATTGTAATTTTTATTAAAATTTTTAAAAATTTATTGCTTATGCGATATTCGAAAAATATATATCATGATTTAGCAAACGCTTCTCAAGGAATTTTAACTGTGCAGATTTTACGAAAAATGGAAAAGCTTTTTATTAAAAGTAACAAAACCCGTTGGACAAACTTTCTTAAAAACTGCAAGCTATTTAAAGTTTACCCAAAGTTTTTTGGATTTAACATACCTCATGCAAACCACAATAATATAATGTCGATAAAAAGAAGTTTACTCAAAAGTGCATTACATAAAAGATCAAACAAACAAAAATTATTGGAAAAAAAATTAGATGAAATAAAGAGCTAAGTAAGAAATAATTGTTCAACCTTACAATGGTATTTTTTAATAAAGGTTATTAAAAACCATGTAAAGAAAAAAGAACAATCAATTATTAAAACCCACGAGAAAAAATTATGTTCACTCACTAAATTTACTAGCATTCCTTATAAAAATAAAATCTTCGTTCAAAACATGTCTTCATACACTTTACAACACCATGAGCTGGATTTATTGAATAATGGTTTTAACTTTGCTCTACCACCAGCGTTTATAAAAAAGACGGACGTTTTTGCTCAATTTGGTTGCATTGCACAATTTCTCAACACCTAACTTAGAAACAATGATTTGGAACCTCAAGTTAAAAGCGGACTTTCACATTTAGCAAATAATTATGTTTACAAATACACGCCGTCTGAAAGTTGTCTGATAAAACACAAAATAATAAAAAGACTCAGGAAGAATGAAAACATCGTAATAACAAGACCAGACAAAAGGGAACCCAGCCGGCATTATTACGTTGTTTCAACGTTGAAATTCGGTTGAAGCGTTGATTCAACGTTGTTCAACTATGTCACAACGTTAAATCAACGTTACCGTTTAAACGTTATTTCAACGTTAAATCAACGTTACAGTTTAATCGTTGATTATTTAACGTTATTTTAACGTCATTATTTCAATCATTGTTGACAAAAATACGATATAAAATTTATGCGCGCGCAGAAATGGAAGTAAAATCGTAAACATTAGGGTAGGTACAATCGGCGGGGCGGGGCGGATCGGCGGGGCGGATCATTTGTTTATTCAGCATTGTTACGGGTAGGTACAATCGGCGGGGCGGGGCGGATCGACGGGGCGGATCATTTGTTTATTCAGCATTGTTACTCGTGAATTTCTTCAAACGAATTCATCTTCAGCAAACGTGGTTTAAGAAAAAATGGCTATTCCAGCTTTGATCAGTTTAAATCATCTCAACATTGAGGTTATTAAAGATCTTATTACCAAGAGTGATGATGAAATTAGAGCAACTGCTCTTAACAATCCCAAGGCCGGTGAAGTTTATGTCGTCCAAGTGAATAATGGGAAAGGTTTGTACTATACTAGTTTACTACCACTAGTAGTATTTTTTTATATAAAGAATTATACCTACTAAGTAAAGTTAACATTCTGAGAAGGATAAGACTAATTCTGGAATAAAGAAAATTCATACCACTAGAATTAACAATAAAATTTATTTAAATTTGGATGGTACTGCACTTAAATTCTGTACAAACGTTATATATCTGGGTGTGGTATTGGATGATCTATTGAATTTTAAAGATTATATTTATTATATAGCAAAATAAAATATCTAAAAAAACAATCTGTGTAAAATATCTATATATACTACTAAATTTTAGTAGTAAAACCAGTATTTTAATCCTTTTAGTCTAAAAAGACTAAAATACTGAATTTTATAAAAATAAATGCACTACACTAGCAATACTATGCCTCTCTTTTATTAGAAAAAAATGAAGAGAATCTTCATATCTTTCAGTTGCTGCAAAATAGAGCAATAAAATCTATCTTTAAATTTAATTGGTTTACACATAGTGTTGATATGCTTAAATTAAGCATATCAACACTATATATCATAAAGCCTTAAAGAGTTGAATTGGCTAACAATCAAATAAATTATTACAGTAAAAGTTCTAATAATAAATAATACTATTAAATTAGAAAATATGTCTGTACTAAAAAAAATTTGAGTTAAAAATAAAGATATGCATAGTAATTACACCAGAGTATCTAAGAATATCATATTCCTCAACACAATCATATTGGGCGGTATTCAGTATTTCGCAAAGGAGTTAAATTGTATAACAGTTTTCCACTTTTGATGAAGAATTTGAGAAGAGGAAATTCAAAATTTAAGTTGTAAAATATGTTTAAAAATTAAACTAGTTTGTTATCAATATAAACAATTAATATATATATATATACTACTGTGATCAAAAAGTAAGGTGAATTTTTTTTATAAAATGAAAAATCTTTATTTATTCTTCCAAATCTGTATCGTCCCTTTCAAAATAATCTCCCCCGGCCCCAATGCACTTTTGCCAACGTTTTTTCCAGTCTTCGAAGCATGCCGAAAAGTCCTCGGTAGGGATAGCCTACAATGCGCGTGCCGATTCACGTTGGATCTCTTCAATGGACTCAAAACGATTTCCCCGGAGTGGTCTTTTGAGCTTTGGGAACAGCCAGAAGTCACACGGTGCTAAGTCGGGCGAATACGGTGGTTGTGGAGCAACATGGGTAGAGTTTTTGGCCAAAAACTCACGAAGAACCAGTGCTGTGTGCGAAGGCGCATTATCGTGGTGCAAAATCCAAGAGTTATTGGCCCATAATTCCGGTCTCTTTTTGCGAATAGCTTCACGCAAGCGTCGCATAACTTAAATAATATTCCTTGTTGACAGTTTGCCCAGTTGGAAGGAATTCGTAGTGCACGACACCACAATAATCAAAGAAAACAGTCAACATGACCTTGATTTTTAAGCGACTTTGACGTGGTTGCTTCGGTCTCAGCTCGCCTTTTTAACGGTATTCACTCGATTGGTCGGTTGTTTCAGGGTCGTATGCGTAGACCCAAGTCTCATCGCCAGTAATAATTTGTTTGTAGACGTCTTGATAGTCAGAAAGCATTGCTTCACACGCTTTAACGCGACGCTCTTTTTCAAAGAAATTGAGAAATTTCGGCATCAAACGTGATTTGAGTCTTCTGAGGCCCAAATGATCCTTCAAAATCGCTTACACCAACCCAAATGATATTCCAACCGTGTCAACAAGGTCTCGAATGGTTAACCGACGATTTGCAAGCACCAATTCTTTGATTTTGTTGATGTGGCGATCATCAATCGTAGTCGATGGTCGTCCGGAGCGTTCCAAGTCATCAACACGTTCTCGGCCTTCTTTGAAGTCTTTGTACCACTTGTAAACAATTTTTTGAGACATAGTCTCTTCACCGAAGGCCTTTTGCAACATTCGATACGTTTCAGCAGCAGAAATATCATTCCGCAAACAAAATTTAATAGCACTTCTTTGCTCAACAAAATTAGACATCGTGAAAATCGCCGAATGCACTTTTGGTACTTCAGAAACAAGCGTAAACAAAAAAAAAAAATAATTATGAGTTTGAAATGTAATTAGGCGCAAATGTTAATGACATTCCTACCAACTTAAAAATGAAAAAGATTGGACGATTCGAATAAGGCGGGAAGTTTAAATTAAAAATTCACCTTACTTTTTGATCACAGTAGTATATATATATATATATATATATATATATATATATATATATATATATATATATATATATATATATATATATATATATATATATATATATATATATATATATATATATATATATATATATATATATATATATATATATCCCAAATGTATTGGATCCATATTGAAGGATTAATTCATTGCAGTTCACAACTAAAGTCAAAGATAAACAACACTGATATAACTTATTGCAGAAAATAGCATGAACTTTTTTTATTGAAAAATTTTTCTTTTTTTAATTTTAAGTTTCTGATTAAAAAAAATCAGAAATATTTGTAGAATATTTTTACTATTTGCATAAGTTGGAGCCTTTATTTTTAGATGATTGGCGAGCAGATGGGTATAGGTGGAAGCAAAATGGACGCAGTAAAATTCCTCGTGGTTTACCACTGTACACAAAACTCCACTTTGCTACAGTTACACCAACAGGAATTTCATGTGTTTTTCAGAAATTTGTATACCGTGATCTAAGTCGGACAGATGTTGTTGTTGTCCATTATATAGGAAACCATGAACTTGCAATCTTAATGCCTCATGGTATAGGTTTTATCACATTTTATTACTGATTGTTATTTTAATTTTAGAACTATTAAAGATGAATGTCTTATCTATATAACTGAGTATATAAAGTTGTATATACTCTAAATAAAATAGTACTTGTGAGGCCATTATAAAGACAACTCCTAAGAGATGGAAAATCCTAATATAAGTTACCCTAGTGAGTTTTAAAAGCCCAAAAAAATTATTTTTTTTAATTACTATTAATTTTTTTGAAAAAGTACTGTATAACATTAATTACTGTATACTTTTAAATTAATTACTAAGTAAAAATAGTATATAATATTAATTCTTTATAATATTTTTTTTTACAATGTATTTTTTATATATATTCCAGGAAATTGCAGAAAATCAATAGGTTTTTTACCAACAGCTCCATCTTTGCGAGATGCAATTATTGATTCTGACAACTACAAGGATCTTCTTGTTGATACCAAGCATAACCAGATCCAATATCAGCCTAGAAACTCAAGACAGTTGAAGTATGTGCGTAGTGTCAAAGCAGAATGTACTAAACTAGGCACTGAATCTTTTTTAACAATTCATGAACTGGCATATATGATACCAGGTTTTGTCTGGTCCATATCCACGTATCCAGACTTGTCAGTGTTGTTTGGAATGCAAAATTTAATCGATGAACTTGTGGTGTGCCCTCAAATTTTCTTTTCATATGACACAACATTTAATTTAGGAGACTTTTATTTGTCAATTTTAGTTGCTCAAATGAGTTGTTTTAATGAGAACCCATGTATGCCTATAGCATTTGTTTTACATGATAGGAAGTTAGATAATGTTCATAAACATTTCTTTAAAACATTTAAAAGTAAACTACCAATTTTTAATCAGGTTGTTATTGTGACTGATGGTGAGAGTGGAATGAGTAAGGCTATTAAAAAAGTCTTACCAAAATGGAATCTGGTATCTTGTTCCAATCACATAATATCTGATGTTGATTTTTGGCTAAAAAATCACAATGCTTGTCATGAAGAAATAATAATCTATAAATCTCAAATGCAGGAATTTCTCAGATGTGAAAGTGAATTACATCTAAAAGTTAAAATTGATACATTAAGGCTTTCTTGGAGTGAGGCATTCTCAGTGTATTTTTCAGACTACTTGTATTCACGTATTTTAATAGCTTATATTGGTCATCTCAGATCTGTTGGTTTAATGGATAATATAGTTACAAATAATGTATCTGAATCATTAAATGCAGTTATAAAAAAGTTTCAAGAATGGAAAGAAGCGCCT